GTATTCCAAAGGTATTCGAATCCTCCGAATACCCAAGGCACTCGATATTCAAACCTTGCCCGAGAAGTGTATATTTATTCTTGCCGCTTACTTTTTACGCTTGATACTATAAATATTATCACGTTCGGATTTGCGTATATACACTTTTTCAGCGGATTGACGTTAGGAACACACCCCTTCACGATCTTAGATTCCACAAACGTAATCGATTAGAACGCTTTGTAATAACCTCAACCTCAATGTAGAAAAACTCTCACGAGCCTTGAATTCTTTTCCAACACTTGTCACGTAAACTATTTCATCTTGTGAGCGAGAAACAACATTAGGCTTCGCTTATTCACTCGATTTCCTTTTTCTCTTCTTCGAGAATAAAGATTTACGTTTCATTTCTTTTCCTTTTTTTTTTTTCTTTCGATGGTAAACGACGTTTCCTGAACTTAAATTATACGTAATTCAATTTATTTTGCTTAATCACTTTTTACGAGTTAATTTTAGAGAGAAGGATAATTTTTTTAAAAATTTAATTATACGTATAAATAAATTTAATAAAATTGAAATGGAGTATCTTATACCTTACTTGCAATAGTCTTATCCTAAAATTACCTTAAATCAAATTAACACTAAAACTACCAATTTATAATATGCACTTAAATATACACCAAAGAATTTATTTATTTTTTGCAATTTGATTTTTCTATCAATGCAAATCAATCTTTTTCCACTCGTCTAATCTAATGCTTTCTCGAATCCTTAACTTTCCATTTTTCTCAATAACAGATTGGGCTGAGGATAATAAATAACTCGTTCGCTTTACAATTCAAAAAACGATGCTCGACGGATTTATCGATCCTCCTCGAGAATCCTTTGAATATACGTACACACGTTGCAACAGAGCAGAATTAATTCACGTAATCACGGGATCGCGAGACATTCTGGTGTTTGTTATGCCGGCTCTCACGTGGCAATGCAAATGATTTTAAATAGGCTTGGCCGAGTGTTCGCTCGAAATAGCGACAATCAGTCGATGACACTGCTCTCTCGTGACGGCCCGATTCGACATCGGTAATCGGCCAACTCATTCCGATGGATCGTCATCGATCGATGACGGAGGGACGCCTCGCAAAGAGTGCCACTTTCATTCACGAGTGCTCGTCTCGTGATACGTCTCGTTATTGGACTCGAATCGAAGTTGAAGTTGCTGACGGTGAAGTGGCTGAGTTTGATCGTTCAAGATTATTGAAAATTTATGTACAATCGTTAGATTGTGTAATAGGATTGTTTTTTTTTTTTGCATTGAATCTGATAAAACTTTATCATTTAAAATCATATGATCAATGTTTTGCGCTATGAGCTACTTTTGATTTGATTTTATTTTAATTGATGAAATAGATTTAAATGTGGAAAAATAATTATATAACAAAGGTTAATAATGATGGAAAGAAACATGTGTCTTACTCGACTGAATTAAGTGAGATAATATTCATTGGAAAAGAGGAGGAAAAAAATTATGAAATCTAATTGGAAATATTAGAAACGTTTATAGATTTATATAAGTGTTAATGTATTCGTGAAAAAATAAATTTGCAATGAAATGTAAAGATATTGAAACACGATATTAATGAAAATATATATGAAATTAACGATCATTCTCGTTCTCTTCAAATGTTAAAAACGCTTTTTAAACGATAGATTCACGCTGTTTTTCTGTACTCTCAGAGATTATCCCGTACAATTACAGGTTTAATAGTGGCTTTATCACATACGTCAAGTCCTTTCCATTTTTTTTTTCTTTTCTTTTCTGATCGATAATGAACGTTCTGCCTCGTCGTAATTGTAGCTTTCACCATCTTTAAAAAACGTCAAATGCAGTAATTCAATTTTACATCTTTATAATTTTCCTTGTTTAATGATTTTTTAAAAATTTAATCAATTCTTTCACATTTCTTAAATTCTTATCTTTTTTTTTTTTTTACTTGTTTCTTATGTTTAATGATATTTTGAATTATTCTCAGTAAATTATTAATTGAATTAATACGAATGACAGCTTGATTGAATATAAAAAAATTTAAGTATCGATTGTCAATCAATACAAGTGACCCTTACTTAATTTCCAAATATAATTACGTATGCATCAAAGAAGATACTTTCACAAGCGGCTGATTAACCCTTTTTTAAAAATATATTTCGAGATAAATTTTCTACAAGAAGATTCTTCTGACCCGTTATAATTTTCCTCCTATACTCGTTTAAATCAAACGTATAATTTCATTCAAATTTCTCGATTCCATCTTACATTCTTTCACAGTTCAGATATAAGATTCAATTTATGAGGACTTGTGATTTTATAGTACTTAGTAATGTGTCTTTCAAATTAATCGAATAACAAAAGTTAATACAGGAGGAGCAATTGAGCAATTGATGACAGACAATTGACGATAAATCAAGAGTTATCAAAGATTGCGAGGCAGAAATTTCGAAAACGAATTCTGAATAAATCTCACATTTTTCCTTATTTCCACACCTCACGTGGAATTTATAATACTTATTCTTTCAAAAGATATATATATATATATATTGATGATAAAGAGTTCCAAATTGTTGATGAGAAATCGAATTGCGAATTTTACTTCCACACTTGCGATTTCTAATCTTTCAAATCGATGAAGATCTCTTGCAAACTACAAGCGATAAAGCAGTGTATGGATATGGTAATAACAAACGTCTCAACGATGAGCGTGAAAAAAATTCCAGGAATACGAGTAGAATTGTCCTCGTATTCTTCCTCGCTCCTAGATTCGAAGGACGTGGACAGATAGAGGCGATCGTTTAAGCGCGTGAAAGTTTTCCCTTACGATAAGAGAGTTTGATGGGGGAGCAGACGAGTACAGATAAGGCTGGCTGGCAGACACTTGGGCGTCCCGAGGAGAGGACGCCGAGCCGTAAACGCTAAAGATAGCGCAATACGCGCTGTCCCCCGCTCAAATCCGCTTCTTGGCCGATCTTTTATCAAGTTTCTTGCTACGAACTTCTCGAGGATGCGTAATTTTCGATAATCAAAACCGTTTCAAGCGATGCCCGCGCACGTATGCACGTATCCCCTTCGATCAAGCGGGACGAGTGCCTTGGACTGTTCTCAGCTTAAGAGTGTGATAGTGTTGTAGTGTTTCTCGAGAGGGGTTTGAAATAATACGTGGAACAAGTGGGTGGGTGGCAAGATTGATAGCAAGGGGATAAGAATTATGTATTTTTCTCTGTGAAAGATATTGCCCAAGATTATTATCTATTTATAAAAATGAAAACTTGATATAGACGAATGGATGTAGCTAGTGTAGTAGGGATGATTTTAGAAGTTCAGGAGCGATAATTTCTTTTTTTTTTTAGTGTTGATAAAATTTATCAGGGCGATGTTAAGATTAAGTCGGGTGGGAAGGACGTAACGTTTTTTTCATTCCCATTTGAATCGTGTAATTATGATTATTTCTTTTTTTTTTTAGTGAATATAAAATGAAGAAAGAAAGGGAAATATATGAGAAATACGTAGAGAAGTTGTAAACTGGTGTCCTATTCTTTTAGCTATAAAAAAAAAAAATTGTATCGACGTTCTAATTTATTACGATATTATGATTTTAGAATTGAATAACATAGAAGTAGTTTTTCTTAAATCTCTTTCTCACATAAATCTCGCAAAAAAAAAAAAAAAAAAAAAGAAGAAAAAAAAGATGGAAATCTTGTTAATGCTTAATAATTTATCCCGTGAAACAATCAAGTGTCTGGAAGGAGAAGTGATATATACAGTGACAAATGTACATCTTTCAAAATTCTATAATAACTATCAATCTTACGTAAGAAGAAACGTATATACAATCTTTCGATCGTATCGATAGTCTTGATACTCGTCATCGGTCAGATTGGATTAGATTAAGTTCCTCTTAACTATAACTCCGCCCATTTATCATATTATTTTTTTTTTCTCTATTAGCAATATATCAATTGGAACGAAACGAAATAACGGGACGTCGGCGAAAAGCTTTGTTAATATTTTTCCAAGCTTGCATCCTTGCAGAAATTCGCATTCGCCGATAAATCAACCGGCGATTTTCCGCTCGAAAAAATAAAGAGACTCGGGCTCAGCTAGGCCAGCTTTGATTTACGATCAGCGTATAGGCGGCTCGAGGTGTGGCCCGACTTGCATTAGAGAATGAGTCTCTAGAAATAGTCCCGGACGCGGAATACATCCCTAGAAATATTAGGCAATGCCTTCATGGCGATTTTTATCGTGCTACGTCAGTCGTATTAAAGAAATGCCCTACATTCTCGCTTTCGAAAATCTTCTGGTTCCCCCTCGACTTCCCTTTCCCTCCTCCCGAACGCTTCGTTGATGGATTTTGGAACGTTGGACATATGGATGTCACGTGGATCACACGTGGATTCTTCTTTCGTGTTTTTCGCATAGATCTTTTCATCTTTTGAAACATTCTTCGATTCTGAACCGAACCAATTTCTCGAATCGTACATTTTTGATTCGAACGCTGTTTTTCCTTATATTTAAAAATATTTTTCGATCCTTCGAAAGAAGGTGCTCCCCGTCGAAATACAATTGTAAATTGTAACAAGGGAAAAATTCGCGGCAGAGTTGCTTGAACCGACGAATTTAGAAATTGCATGTTCGCCAGGAATTTCTTATAGCGTTTGGCAAACAGAACCTCGATATTCTCAACAGAATCTCGTACGATCTCTTACTATTTCTGTAAAATCTTTATCATTAATCCCAACGCAATTAACATCCTCATCCTCATCGCATCAATCATTAACGAATTCAATTCAATCCAATTGAAATCCATTCGTCATAAACCATCTTCCGGTTATTCTTCGTCTTTCAACTTCCACTTCTTCTCTCGCCCCCTCCCCCCAAAAATACTTTCCACGAAATGAAGACTAGATTCTTCCTTCGTTCGACCACTATCTTTCAACTTCCACTCTTCCTCAACTCTCTTTAAAGAAAAAGAAAAAGAAAAAGAAAAAATATCTATTTTCCACGGAACGAGGGCTCGATCGAAAACTGGGACGAAAATTCTTACGAAAACTGTTGCGTTTCCACCTCGTATCCACCCGTTATAAACAAATGCTCGAGACTATCGTACTATGAGATACGCGCACGTAGGTATTTGGCAAACGGTGACACCACGTCGTGGACACCACCTCCGGTTCGTCTGCGAGCCCAGGTACCCCAGACCGCAGTTTCTACCACCTCATCTCGTCCTCTCCGTGTCTCTGTCCAACCTCATCCTTCCTCCCTCACCTTACTCGTAGTTATCGTCATCTACGTACACTCTTCTTCTTCTTCTTCTTCTTCTTCCTCCTCCTCCTCCTCCTCTTCCTCCTCCTCCTGCTCTCCGCCCTCCTCCACTTCTCGGGCCAGCTTCTCGCTCCCTCTTCTTCCGCTCCACGCACTCGGTCGTCTCCCATTTTCCGTCTCTCGCTTCACTCGCTCTCTTCTCGCGTAAGTGAGGCACGAGGAGAGAAGGGGCAAAGACGCTTTTAGACACGGAGCGTCCACGAGCGTCGCGACGCCTTGAGAAGCAGTAGTCGCGTACCTTAGGCAGCTTCCACCTTGCCGGCTCGCGGCCGAACGTAACGTGATTCTCCTCGACGTCTGTTCCGTCGTGTCGCGTTCACCCTCGAATTTCGCGCGTCCTCGACCCCTTCGTGAAAGAGGGAAGCGGAGGAGTGGATCGCGGTGGTGGCTCCCAGAAGATAGGATATATAATATTCGGCGAGAGTTGAAACTTTGGAAATTAACTTTGTGCGTCAGAGAATCATCGGTGTTATTCGAGATAGAATCGTTTGTCGCGGCGATCCATGAGGGATCGAGATTTGTGGAAGGTCGATGGTGCACGGGAGGATCGATCTCGAGTCGAGTGCGTCGCTGGATACGCGGCATCCGTGACGATAGTCGGATGCGAGGGAGGAGGTGCAGGGAGAGAGAGAGAGAGAGAGAGAGGCAGTGGTTAGCCGAATATTCGGTGGGATCTGCAAAGTCTAAATTAATCTGGAGCCCGTTTTGTTGTTGAAGTTTCGACGGCCCTGCTGCTGGTCGGCGTAAAAAGAGCGTAAAGTTTCGTACCGCGGAATAAAAATAATCGTACACGATACCGGGGAGAACCGAAGAGATTCGAGACTCGTTTCTCCTCTGTTCCCGCAGAATCACGCGTTACTTTTACTTCAGATTCTGGGGACGACCTGTAAAATTCCTCGCTCGATGAACAAGTGGCCATTCTGGCGTTCTTTCTTCCTCTCTTTCTCTTCCATTCCTTTCTTATACGTTATAGAGGAGAATACGCTTCTATCCGTACTCTCCTCCGAGAGAAGGAGAAGGAGGGAGAAGAGAGAAAGAGAGAGAGAGAGACGAGCATTTTCCTCAACGAGCATTCCGTTCACGTATCCTCGATATTGCTCCCTCAAGTGTAAACGGGCAGCTTGGCCAGCCTAAATTCGCCCAATTTCCGCTCGTTCGTTTCACGACACGAGTATCGTCCTCCTCCTCCTCCTCCTCCTCCTCCTCCTCCCTGAGAAGAAACTGCGTCACTCATCGATCAGAGGAGAGAAGAAACTTCGCCTCGATTTTTCGCCCGGCTCAGTTCCACCTCGGTCACCTCGGATCGCGGAGAGTGTAGTTCCATTCCATTCCTCTCTCGACGAAGAGAGAGAGAGAGAGAGAGAAGAGGACTTCTTTCGGTGTGTCCTCTTCCTTTCCGTCCTCCCTGACCGGGGAGAGAGGGGGAGAGGAGCTTGCGAGGCGAGTGAATGTCGCGAGTGCGGTTCGGTCGTGACGACGACGGTACACAGCGACGGATGATCGTTTGGAGCGAACGATCGGCCGGTCGGTCGTTGCGGGAGTCGATCGCGTTCGAAGGGTAAGGATAATTCGGCGAAAGTGGTTCGCGTGGCGAGGAAGGAGAAGGACGCGGGTATGGCGGAGCGTCCTGGGGGTAGGAGGCGTTCGAGGAGGGACAGCGCGGAGACGGGGACCTCGTTGCGGGGCACGCCGCCTTCCTCCAAGGATCGAAGGTCGAAACGGTCGAGCAAACCGTCGAAGGAGCGATGGCTGCTCACGAGGAAGACGTGGCGGTACATGGCCGACGCCGGGAGACGATTGATCCCGGACGGGACGCACAACAGGCCCGAGGACATACCGAAGATCGAGCGATACTTTCAAGAGGTGTGCCAGAAGGAGCCGAGATTTCTGTTGTGGAGGAAGGCTTCGTATCCGGGCACGTTGGGCTTTCGTTCCCAGAGGCGGCGAAGGCAGGTGAAGGGGGGCAGTTGTCGAACGAAGGCAAGCTCGGCCGACGAGGCGGACGACGCGAGGAATCCGCCCCAAGGCTTCGTCCTCCGCACCACCACCGCGGGCAAGTTCGATCTGGCCAAAGCTAGGAGGGAGTGGTTGCTCGCTACGGAAGGGGGGGGAAGCATACCGTCCAGCCCCGTGGAGCGGAGGAAATTCCTGCAGGAGGATTCGGAGGTGAAAGCGTTGGCCGATATGCTGCAGAAATACCTGAACATGCAGAGTGAGATCGGTGGCGCGATGAGATCGATCCCCCGATCGGGGCTGGTCGGCGAGGGGGAGGGGAGAGAGGCGTTCGACTATCAGAGCCTGGTAACGAGGCTGCAGCAACACTTGGACTTAATGATCGCCCAGGCAAAACTCGAGGAGCTGTCGGTGCAACGTGCCGCCACCGACAGGGACGGGGAGAGGATCCCGAAATCGATGCAATCGTATCAAGGTGACTACGTGCACAAATCGTTGATGGAGACGATCAGCCGCCACTACAGCAAGTCCGGCACGCGGGAGCACGTGATCTCGGCCATTCTCACCGATCGAAAGCTGTTGGAGAAACTGTACTTCGATCTGAGGTGTACTAGGGGGTTCAAGGGGCCACGCGCCACCGGCGCGTACACGTCGCCATCCTCGCGCTGGTGGACGCACCAACGGCCGAGGGTGGCGTCCAAGGATTCGGCGGAAGACTGGCTTTCGAGGAGGGATCCTATTTCCCCCCCGCTGATAGCCGTCCAAGAGCCGAGCACCGATCACGGCCCGGTCGAGGACGGGGTGCAAACCGATCCCGTTCCCCGCCAAGTTCTCGACGCTCTCCTCCTCGAGAGGGAGAGGGAGGAGTTTAAGGAGGTGCCCGTGCACAAATCGACCGGCCGCAGGCGAAGCAGCGTGGACAACGACGACGTCTCGCCCTCCGTCAGCGATACCATCAAGAGGTATCTTCGAATGGCAAGGAAAAAGTCGATGGACGCCGACAAGGTGGACAGATTCAAACGGGTGAACTATGACAGAAACTTGAGGAACATCAAGGCGAAAGGGGAGACGACGAGGCTCGGCGACGATGACGGGAACAACAAGGGTTGCCAGACCGAGGACAACTGGGCCGTTAATTACAGGGAGATGTCCTCCGTGGAGAATCCGTCGGAGAATATGTCGGACGGCGACACGGCCACGTCTCCGCCGAGCAGAAACGCGAGCTCGAGGAGCAGCATCGACGCCGGGCTTGGCTCCGAGGAGCCGTTAACCCCTAAACACCATCATCATCAGTCCTTCCTTTCCCATCTCCTGCACGGTTCCAACGCGCACAAGGATAAACCGCATTCGGCACCCGGTTCGCCGGCACTCACGTCATCGTCCACCAATTCCGCAGGTGGCACAGCGATGCAGAAGAGCAAGTCGTCGAGCAGCGTGGTGCATCACGGTAGCCGACTGGTGGCAAAGAAGATATGGAGGTCCAGAAGCAAGAGCACCTCGAGGGCGTCCAATCAACCCTCCGTGTGGACGCCGCAGGTGAGTTTTTCTTTTTTTTTTTTTTTTTTTTTCTTCCTTCTTTTCATATGCTTGGTGTCCTGCAACCGTTTCTTCGATTTTCCATTTTTCGATCGAACGAGAAAAATGGTATTATGCACGTATAAGACGATTGTTGGCAAAGATGAAAATGTCGAACCTGTTGATCCGATCTACGAATTTCTTTTAAACTTAGGGAATACGGTTAAAGAGAGAAATTAAGAAACGGACGAAGAACAGAACGAATGTTATGGTATCTAATTATTTGGTGATACAAAACGGAATTTCTTTCCAGAACAAACTATCTTTTGTTAGACGTTTCGACGCGCTTTATTCGAGCGTTGTAAACCAAGCACGAACGAGCCTCGCGCGCTATACATAGAGTTTTGTCTTGCCAAAACATATCTACGAATAATTTGCTTAAACCACCTGTCGCCGCATAGCGGAGAGTGTCCACCTCGTTATAAGAAAGAAAACGAATTAACGATGTCGCTATTAACATCTTCCACGAAAATAGAGCGCTACTATTAATAACAATACTCGGCTGCCTAGCTTTCTTAATAGCAGTTGTAAATTAATTTTACTTGCCACCCGGTCGAGCACGATCTCTAGGCAAGTTCATTCGGATAAAATATAAAACCTTCTCTATCGATCTTGTTTCGAGAAAAAATTCGAGAGGATGAATCTTCGAAAATTATTCTTCGATTTTCTTTGTCTTTCGGCCTCTATGTAATTTCATTTCAACGTGCTATTTCTTTTTTCTCTTCATTTTTCATTTTTTTTTTTTAAAGATAAAGTAATTAGGTTCGTGATCTCTTCTATTCTTTTTATTCTTCTTTTATCCATCTGTTAATTTTCAATTTTATACATTGTGCCACACTTCTCTTTTCAACTTCTTTTTCTTTCTAACTATTTTTTAAAATAATTAATTTCACTATTTTCTATTTTTTATGTAAAAATATTATATTACATCCACGCATTTTAATTTCTTTGACGTCTATTTTTTTCATTCTTTTTTTTTTTTTATTTTCTTCTTTCCCTTTTTTCTTTCTAATTATGCAACTTTACAGAGTACAATTATCACGATAAATCATCTTTCTTTTTTCGTATTATCTCCTTTCCACCAATTTTTCTAATTATTATAATTATTTCCTAATTTTTACACATGGTGTAATTCATCTTCCTTTATCATCGTGAAATTTCTCTTATTTTCTCCTGTATCTCCCGTAATTTTTATACGATTATCGTAACAATTCACCTTCCTTGTTATTTCTCATTCTCGACATTAAAAAAAAAGAAGAAGAAGAAAAAAAATGTCCAGCCATCCCTCCACGATCAACTTCCCTCTCCGTCAACTTTCCTCTAACCTCCTCTCCCTCCTCCCCCATTTCTTCATTTTCGAAACTCCCCAACGTTCCACGCCTCTCCTCGACCATCTTAGCTTCGACGGCTCGTCTATTTTTCTTTTGCCGTCCGAACCCGGCCACCGTTTAATATCCCCGCGGTGTGACCGAGTATTCGGAGGATGTGAAAGAGGAAAAAGAGAAGGCGTAAGAACAAGAAGAAGAAGGTCGACCTTGCGGCAGGCGATCTCGTTAAGCGGTAAGCGCGATAACCAATTTAGGGCCTCGGAATTTCGCCGGCGCCGCCAGAAATAGTCAGCCAACGGTGGTGTGTATGAACTATACTTAACCCCTGCTACTACACTAGTGCGTGTGTATGTTAAAACCACACGGGAGATCGTTTGTGTGCCGCCTCTGCTATCGCTGTTTCTATTAGGTGCTGCATACGAAATGTCGTTTTCTGGAATGATGCTTCTTAAATCGTGTTCTCTCTTCTTTCGTGTGAGAAATCCGTTCCAATCGGTTGAGTGGCATTGGTTGTTAAATCGTGTTTCGTTATTAGAGTGGATATATATGTGTATATATAGAATGAAATTTTTATGAAGTTTTAGAAAAATCGTACGGTGAAACGAAATAAGTGCAGTTGTTAAATGATTGTGTTTTGTCGTCGGGGTGGGGATATTTATGCAGAATCAAATTTTTATGAAGAGACTGAGAAAAATGAAAGATGATATGCATCGTATAATATTTTGAAGAACTATTTTGAGGACAGTTTTTATTTATTTTTTAAGAGTATTTTACCTTTTCTCTGCCTTAAGAAAGTTTTAAAATAATTACAAAGGATTTTTAGGAATGTTCTGATTATTCTGATGTGATGATCTAGAATCGAGTGCTAATATTTTTATTATAAATCTTTTACGTTTCTAATTGTAAGTAAATTAAAAGATGTTCAAATCGTTACAATTTGCTGTATAATTTTCAACAATTTTCAAATTATTTCCTTCTCTTATTATTTTTCCTTTTCTCTTCTCTTTCTGCTTTCCTCAATTTCGTCACGCGTGTTCGTTGCAACGCGACAAGAAGGCGAAAAGTTTAAAAATAATATCGTCGTATATAGAAGAGAAGTGAAAACGACGTCGCTTTTCTATTAGAAATAAACGTATTTCACGATTCATTAAAGTTGAAACGGTGAAAAACGACGGGGTTTCGAGCCGCGAATTTATCAACCGTGTACATTGACAGAACGTTTAGATGGTCTTTTTATAAAATCGTCTCCCTCTTGCATCGATACGTTTCTTTGTAGTTTTGAATTATATCCAGTCAGACTGTTCGACGAGAATTTATCAATATTTTGACGAGGTTTTTCTTTGGAAAAAAGATCTTTTTATAAATTTTTCTTTCATTTTTCCCCTTCGAATTATGAATTCGATGGATTATATAGCCGACGATTAGAAGAGTGAATTTAATTAGAAAATTTCTTTTGAATTTTCATACTTCTTCTCTCTATGTGATAATTCGATAAAGATAGAGAAAAATTATTTTCCTCTTTTTAGAAAATTTTATTTCTTTTCAACGAGGAATTTTTGTTTTTGTTCGAGTGTTCTTTTATGATCATTAATTTTTTTTTTTTTTCCAAAGTCATTCACACAAAATCGTTTTATTCGTTCAAAGAAATTCCTCCTTGACACGGCTAACAGAAGATTGAATCAAATTTCTCCGCTTGCATCCTACGTTTCCATTTCTTAAAATACATTGAACAATGCTCGAAGAATTTCTCGAAGTTCGAAACAAAAGTATCAATAACGATGTTTGTCAAAATATTATATAATTCCGATTCAACCGGGTTTCTTTTTTCTTTGTTTTTTTTTTTCTTTTTTTCTTCTTTTACCGATCCTCAATGGGATAAAAGCTAAAAATATACTTTATTTCATAAAGGAGAGAATGATAATTTGATTTTTTCGTTCAAGGACTTTCACTTTGATGTGAATCCGAAGGAACTTCATTTCAAGGATCAACTTTTCCTTATAAAACTTTTACTCTTACGCTTTCATCTTTCATTTTCTTACTTTATGCTCATCAAATATTCAATATAAATAATCATAAAAACGTTTAATTTTGTTAAATTAAAAGAGATACCTTGAAACCTACAATAGAAATTCCAAGATTTATTAACTAATTGAATGTAATTAAAATTCCTTTATGTTATTTTGTCCAATTTTCTCGAAATTTATTATTATTATTTTAAATTTCATTCCAACCTGGTATAATAATATTCCGTTATTTCGTCCCATTGTAAGAATTAAAAAAGAACAATGCTCTTAATATCGATCAATTTAAATATTTGTAATTATACACCTATGATCTAAATATGTGAAATATTTCGTATATTCACGGTGTTTCGTTTCATTCCTTTATTCTGTTGCTTTATTACTTAAACGTAGGATAAATGATATCTCATTGTTCCACGATTGATGACAACAAAGTAACGATAGGATGTCTCTTGATAGATCGTCTAATGGAACGAAATTTTGGCAATGATCCTTTACGAGAATGTATCTCGTGTCTCACCTTTGTCTCCTTTAACACCCATCCACCCACATGTCGCGATTTCAGCCTCCTCCTGTAAACAAATTTCGCGATCCACTCGTCGACTGTTCTTTTATTACGTTACCACGTCATCGTGTATCTTTATCTCGAATCTTGAATTTCATCCGTGTATTATTGTTTCATTATTGTCATGTAACGTAATGATTCTTGCCGTTGTATCGATTATTATCATTATTAATATTTATATATAACTTGTCACTCATTGCATAAAGCGTGACGACTCGAAAATTTTAATCCCACTTAATTTTTATCCCACGTGAAATTCAGACGTTATGAAATTAGATTATACATTTTAAAATATATATATATATATATATATATATATATATATATATATATATATATATATATATATTATATATATATATA